TGTCAGTGGGTGCTTACTGTTGTCTCACATTTTGCAGGCAATTCCAAAATGTCATTTACCATGTTGTGGTGTCTGTGTGTTCTTCTCTGTAACAGACTGTCCACTTCAGGAGAGCAGGGCCTGGGTCATATTTGGCTTTGTGTCACCAATGTCTAGCATTAGTCTCACACATAAAAAGCCCTCAGATGTTTGTTGAATGAATAATTGCGTCTAGCTCATTACGTTATCCTCAAACCACATATAAGAAATGGATAACACACTTGAGATTATTCAGTTCAAATAATAGACTCAGAGGCCACTTAAGTTTCTTTAAGAATGTGAGTCATTAGGAACCAGCTGTTCCCCATCTTTGAAGGGGCAAGAACAAATGGCTAATGAAATCAATCAATCTGAAAAGTGTAAAGATTCTTAAACTTTTGTTCGGTGGTCTTTGCTTTGCATTTAAAAATAACCAGGAAAAATTTTAAATTACTAATGCTGAGACCTTTTCCCAGGACAATTAGATTAATACCTCTGGAGGTGAAAGCCTGACACTGATAGTTTTTAAAGCTACTCAGGTGATTTTAACATGCAGCCTGCATTTGGTACAAGGACTCTAGAACCACACTTTCAGAAACATTGCTTTTTAAAAAACAAAATGGTGTCTCTCCAGTTCTACATGAGGTGCTGTAGGAGATGGAAAAGAACATAAAGCATGCTCCCACTGCTGTCTATCAAGGAATTAAAAACTAGCAATCACTGATATGAGTACAGTGAGAAAGCAGCTATCAGTATGTGCTGAGCTGTGAGAGGTCATTAAAAGGTGGACTTGTGTTGAGCGTGAGACTTTCTGCAGAGTCTGCTAGATGTTTTAGGAAGTTTATTATTGTATAAAAGACAGTCCCTGCCCACAAAAGGAGGTCAAGAGTTAGTAAATTTGCTACTACCAGCCAGCAGGCCTGGCCAGTATAGAGGGTCTAAGGGCTTCATTCCCAACACAAATCACCATGCTCGGCACTGATAATACAGCTGTGAACAAGACACAAACTGTCTCAAACAACTGACAGTCTGTTCACAATTAAGTAAACAGGCAATTACAAAATGGTGAGAGTTGATGAAAGAAACAAAAGAAGGTTAGTGAGATAGGAAGCAACCAGTTGGTAGAGGGTTTTAAGGGTTAGACTGAGGTATTTCAGTCTAATATGATTGCCAATCATTCCTGATTAAAGGAATGTTATAAAAGAAATGTGTAAGAAAGATTATTTTAGAAACTTTGGAAGAATTTGAAGAGGGAGAAATAGTACAGATGTAGGACAATTAGGACACCTGCAACAATCTAAGGGTTGGGTGATAAGTTTCCAAATTAGGAAATGGGAAGGAGTGGTTTATAGAATTCCCAATGAAAAAGATAGCTGTTCACATTATATAAGCATAAGTAATTTAAATGCATTTCAATCAGAAATTAATTAATAATATTGGGCTATTTACTATGTGTCTGAGAATTAGTTTCTCTCTTGCTATTTCCAGTTGATACTAATTGCCATCATATCTTAATCTATTTCACAATGTGTGAGAACTTTAAAAACTATATGTCAAGTTACTGAGCTTAGTCGATGTCTGGGTCCTTTTTGAAGAATCAGTTGTTTACTTTTGTTTATAATTTACACAGTTCCATACCCCAAAAAGTTTTCCTGTCAAACACAACCTCTATAAAAACAGTAAGGCTCCATATTTCTCTAACACACTAAAGCCAATGTTCTTATTTGAGAATCTGAGCCTAAGTGAAATTTTTTATTATTAATCAGAACTAAATTTTTGTCTTTGCCTTGAAGTGATCAAGTTCTAAAATTTTCATATGTAAATGATCAATGAGTAATTAATTCCAAAAATATTCATTGCTCTTGTTGGGCCAATTCCATGACCAGCCATAGTGCGGGTAGTATTGAATTATTTGGACATATAAGATTATAAACTACCAGACCCTGCTGCACTCGAATTAAGTATGTATTCTAAGTCTGTTATGTGTATCCTCAAAGGAGACTATAAAATGAAGGCAGGCTTTCAATTCATGCAGTCTGTGATTTATGGAGGCACGTTAAGTCAGGAGTTTATTATGCTGAAAATCATAATAACTGTTTTTCTTTTGCTTTTTTAAATGAAGTGACCAAAGCATGTTGAAAGATAAATGGGTGAAGCATTATGATTATGTTTTTGTTTCTATTAAACATTAAATATTACTGCTGAGTAACCAGCCATGCTAAGTATTATGATATTAAAGCTAAAGTAGTTTGTAAGCTGATAGCCCCTTCTTTCCTCTGGGTTTAGGTTTGTTATTAATCAAAACATTGGGCTTATTTAGTGCAGTGGTGTATGAAACAAATAATTCAGAAAGACAGCTCCTTTAATTTACAGCTGTTTTTTCAAATTTGTAAGAAAATCAGTGGACTTTACGCTGTTGTTGACATGTCTAGATTTCATTTCTTATATCAGAACAAAGGAAATCCAACAGTTGCATGATTCTCTTACGGCATAGGAAGGAGGAAGGTGCCTTTTTATGTTTTTAATTGACAAATTCTAGTTAAGTCGTTTTTGAAACATAGACAATTTCTACTAGAGATAGATATTACAAAAAACTTATCTACCTGTACCGACCAGCTGCCAAAAAATAAAAAATAAACATATATTTTGGGGCAGAGAATGTGATAATTTTTAGGGCATATGAGTCCAGCTACTTCTGGTATTGTCTTAGGTATCAACACAACCCCTAAGCACTTGGAAAGCTGCTAGCACTTACTGAAATGCAAAATAGGGGTCTGGGCTCCCCCTGTGGTATGGTAAAGGATCTTTAACAGGACAGTCTTGCCACTCTTCTAAATTGTTTCTCATCAATGGTAGAATACTTACAGTTTCTAAAGAGCACACTTTGTGGAGACTCTAAGAAGTGTTGAAGAAAAAGACCCCTCTCAATATCTGAAACGAAAGCCTTAATTTATTACTTAAGTAAGGAATATCTGTGCTTTTAGGCACAGTGTCTTTGAGCAAAGCAGGTTGCAAATCTTATACAGAGTTTTGTAGTCAGGAATTGTTTAGGGGTTGGCATCAGCCTCAGAAGCACCATTATTCAAAAGAGACTGTCGTTGATTGACTGGCTTTCAGACGGGCCTGTTCACTGGAGTGAGTCTGCCACTGATTGGCCAACTTTCAAAAGCATAAGGTTGTCACTGATTCGTTGACCTTGGGAGGTATATTTGCTGAAGTGAGTTGTCACTGATCATAATTATGACCTAGGTGAGTCATCATTAATTGATTAAATCCAGTTTAATTGATTTTCCAACTGATTCTAGTGGTTGGTTACTTGTAACCATGGCTTTAGAACAATCAGCCTTTTTCTAGGAGTTGGAGATTGTTTTACTCGCAGAAGCTAATACTTAAAAAGTAGAAAATTGAAAGCACCAGAAAAATCAGACTGGGAAACCCATCTAAATGCACAACAATTGTATGAAACACTGCTAAGTAAGGATGTTTACTAACGCAACAGAGGTATAAAAAGTCAGCAGCTGTCATGTGTGACATGGCATGTTTGTGTAAATCAGTTATGAAATTTGATACAAATAATGTATTTTTAATAATAAAGTATAGAGATGTGAATGTGATTTACCTCATTTAATAAAGTAGATTCTAGGTCATCCATATAATAATAACACTTATACTCATTGCATTCCAATACACTTTCTCTAGTAGGATAGAAAGGCTGGGAATGGCACGTAAGCCTCAACTTGTCAGCTCTGGGGAGCAGCAGCTACTGAACCTTTAGTAATGGTAGTATCACTAATATTGTGACATTGTACTTCCCTCCCAAAATCTTTTTTGGATTCTTCAAAATCTGGGTATATCCATGAGAGAGTTTGCCACACAAGCAAAGGTCACCTTTCATTTGTGCTACTGCAGGGAAAAAACAGTACAGATCTCTGCTAGTACCTACTGCCCAAATGTCTATTTATATAGAGCAAAAGAAATTAATGTCACATTTGGATTTCATCTGAAAGTTACAACAGGTATACAGGAGTATTAATCCTATAGGCTCTATCTGCTGTAATGAAGAAAAGTGTGTAGAGGATATGCCTATAAAATTTTTTGTTCAAATAACTTGTAGGAAAAGCCTTAATAGTTGTGTTTGTATAAAAACTGAACTTTTCTCTTCCAAAATTCATTCAACTGCCCTAAAGTCTTCCGTTTATTCCTGACACCTACTAATGGGGGCACAGCTAATCACTTACACATTTCCCTGCTGCTAAGGATAGCCAGCTTATGGCCACTTAGGATTCAAGCACATGTTGATACCTTAAGACCAGTAGCATTTGATAAAGTAGGAAAGCAGGATGGTTAGTTTGTTGTAATCAACAGTAAGAGGAGGAAATTAGTCCTCTTACTGTTATGTTAGTAAGATAAGTTATGCCAAAAGTTTAGTTTCCTTTTGTATTAAAAAAAAGGTTTTTTTTAACCCAGCAATTCCCCAGAAAAAGGAGTCATAATGCCATTTGAACCTCACTTAAATTTTCTTAAATGTATTCCCTACTCTTGACCCATTTTACTACTGATAAAAAAAAAAAATCAGATAGGACTGATTTATTGTATAGTTTTGCTCTGCAGGGTAGTTCACTCTGGCCAAGTGAGTGTTCCCTTTAAAGGAAACAGAGTGCTCTCTGAATATGGTTTGAGGAACACTTCTGGGTAGGGTAAAACTCTTGTAACCTCACATCAGGGGAGGAACCTCAAGTGAAGACCAAGGCAAAGAGATTCACTTCTAAAAATACAAACTAGCAGAACAAATTCCAGACATGTTTTTCAAATTTAAGTGTTTTCTGAGAAATTGGTTTCCATGTGGTATAAACACCAGTAAACAATAAGCCCATTTTGGTGTTCTGTACCCTTGTGGTTCATTATGCCAATGATAGTGGAGTATAGAATTTCTACTTTCATTCTTATGCCAAAATCACTGAACCATCTCTCTTCCTCTTTAGGATGTCACATGTACTTCAATTTGAGGATAAAAGCAGAAAAGTCAAAGATGCAAGCATGCAAGACTCAGACACATTTGAAATCTATGATCCTCGGAATCCAGTGAATAAAAGAAGAAGAGAAGAAAGCAAAAAGTTGATGAGAGAGAAAAAAGAAAGAAGATAAAATGAGAGTAGCGATAGCCAGAACCTGCTGGAAATGTGCCTGCCATAAATGGCCTTGTAACAGCCATAGTTCCCAACAGCATCATTTAGGGGTGTGAAAAGAAATATTTTTGAACCTATTGCCTGGTTTTGAAAAACGATTATTTTGTTTTGTAAATTGTGAAATGATGGATTGAGATGCTTTTGGTTACTGGCACATGCTTTTTTCCTAATTGACCTTTTATATCACTAAATCTGAAATAAAATCACTTTCCTTCCAGTTTACATGTTAACCATTTGCAGACTATGCAAGCCTGTTTGTGTCCTTTTACCCTAAAATATGTGAAAGCTTCCTTTTAAAGATTTTTTTATAAGAAAGATCTTGCAGAAAGAATACTTGAGGGAAACCTCCCTGGCACTAACTTTGGAATATAATAAAAATTATAAAATAAAAATAAAAATGTAATAAAAAATTATAAGATATTCATGTTTTTGTTTTGCATATAAATATCTAATAATAGCCAAATTAGTAAGAATCCCCAAGTGAATGTCAATACCTCCATCAAGGCCAATGCCTGGGTTTTATGGATGCAGTCAGGACACTCTGACATTCTAAGCAATGTCAGCCGAGCTCCCTGCACACACTGGCCTGACGCCAGGCCACCTGCCCACTCCTCTGCTCTGCTCAGCACAGTAATAGCCAGTGCACATGCAAAGGTCCCATTCTGGCAGTATAATTCATTAAGAATTTAGCCTTTGATGACAATCATTTATACTGGTTATTTGCTATATAGTATCTATATTTAGGTTGTTTATTCTAGAATCTGAATGCTAAAATTGTACCACAGAATAATTTCAGTCACTTCGTAAAACCTCACCAATCACATCTTTTCAGAGAGTGTCTCATCAGCTCTCTCTTCCAAAATGCAATCTGAAAACAAACATACAAACAAAAAACCCTGTCATCTAATAAGTGTTCTTCAGAACACAGGTGCTCAAAATGTAATGTATGTTAGAAATGCAAACTCTTGGGCCGGCCCGTGGCTCACTCGGGAGAGTGCGGTGCTGATAACATCAAGGCCCCGGGTTCGGATCCCACATAGGGATGGACGGTTCGCTCACTGGGTGAACGTGGTGTTGACAACACCAAGTCAAGGGTTAAGATCCCCTTACCGGTCATCTTTTAAAAAAAAAAAAGAGAGAGAGAAATGCAAACTCTTGCCCTTGCTCAGCCCATTCTCACCATATGACACCTTGTGACTCCACAGGACTGTGCACCACGATGGAGGCCCTTAAAAGATATGTTCCCTGGACCTTGGACTTCTCAGCCTCCAAACTGACCTTTGGAGGAAGGGGAGGCAGAGATCTGTGCTCAGAACATCATTACAAACCAGAGATCCTGTTCTATAATTTCAAGTTTTTATCCAAATATAGATGTATCCACTCTCCTGGGCATATGTACTCCCTCAAAGTAAATAATGAAGTTATACTAAGAAACCCATCTGGGAGACTACCACCTTTTCTTGCTGCCCTCTTCTTCCCTAAATAAACTTCTAACCCTACACTCTATGAAGGAATCAATTCTCCAGAGAACCTTCTTGATTAAAATTCTATTCAGTCTTTAGTTCACTGTCTTCTTAGCTCATAACTAGCCTAAATTAAGAAGGAATAGTTAAGGGGTTAAAAATAGAGGACATTTTCTCCTAATGTTCTTTGGATATTAAGAAAATAATCAGAATTTTTTTTAATTAAACATTTGTAGAGAAACTAAAAAGAAATGCAAACGATTACCTACTACCCACAACCGCCACCCCACTTCCAGACTACTGAGTCTGAAACTTTGAACCCTGACAGCTTGTTAAACAGATTGATGGGCCTCACTGCTGGTAGTTCAAGCTCTTGGGAGACTGGCAATATCTGGTGCAGTTAAAGATGTGCATATCCAGTAATCCAAAAGTTCTAATCCTAGGTCTGTACCTTAAAAATATTCACACACATTGCTCAAGGAGACAAGTACTAAGATACATCAAAGCATCAACCAAAGAATGAATAAATAAGTTGTTGCATGTCTATACTATGAAATACTTTATAGAGGTGAAAATCAAACCAGAGCTATATATTAATATATCTTAGAAGTAAAGTGAAAAAAAGGAAACCACCTATATAAAAATTTAAAACATGCAACACATCATTATATATTGTTCCTGGATGTACACATATGTAGCAAAAGTCTAGAAACATGTATGAAAATAGTTGCTACCCCTGAGGAGGAAGGAATACATACAGGGCTTCACTTGTGTTTGTAAAGTTTTATTTCTTAAGCTAGATTTTTTTTTTTTTCTTTCAGGAAAAGGGAAAAAGTTTCAAAGAGGAGGAGAGGGTGATGGAGGTGCTCTGGGGGAATGTCAGCCCACTCAAATGCAGGGTGATCAGACTCTAAGCCACCAAAAAATTAGTCAGTGTTCGGAATTGTGCCCTATCTTCCCCTCACCACAAAGGTTGTAACATCCATTTTATTTTAGATATTCACAAACCAGAATTCTGTTTCCCAAACTCATAAAGTCTCTGTTGGTTATTATGAAATGTATTACCACTGAAACTGTATTAAAGTACTGTATAGGTTTCTCTACCATTCCTCGTTGAATGTATGCACCAGTGCAGTATTTTGTATGCATGCACCAGTGCAGTATTATGTATGCATGCACCCGTGCAGTATTATGTATGCATGCATCAGTGCAGTATTGCCCCAAGAACAAAGGGAACCCCAGACCTCCAGGGCACAAACCAGAGAATAACATATGTAGATTTAAAATGATAACCGAATGACAAATTAAAACCTCAGTTTGACTGAAGCCTCCTCATCCTGCTTTAATTGCAAGGAACAGAAAGATCTGAAATTCTATGGAGATTAGAATCTTACCAGAAGAATTTCACCATGATAATAAAATTCACTGTAAACTTACCTGAATAACAGCAATAATAATTTTTCAAAAACCTAAGAACATAAATTATCTGTTAAATATTGTATTAAACATACTGATAGTAAAGTCTTCGGAAATGTCACAGGAACATGTTTGGGCCAAATGAATTGCAAAAAAATTCAAAGCCAAGATAATAAAAACATGTTAGAAAGTTAGCCTTTAAATTTTGTTCTAATTTTATATTTGGGGGTTATTTTTCTTTTCTGTGTCTTGCCCTAAGGATGTTGTCCTGAGACAGTGAAGTCTGTTAGCATTGTTGCTCATTGTCTGTGACCATGCTGGACATTCTGGAGAGCAAAGAGAAAAGCAACTCCTGGCAAATTTTTTTCTCTTTTTATTATGAGCCATTTTCTTCACTTTGGTTGAAGCTGTTGACAAAGTTAAAACTAACCCTAGACCTCTCCTTTCTTCGAAGGTAATTGAAGTAAATGCAAATCTCTAGAATTTTTAATGTGTAATATCAAAATGTACATCATCATATGCCCTCAGCTCTGTCTGCTCTGAGGCCACACAGTCAAAAATGCATCTAAAAATGGGGACGCCATAGAACAAGGTCATTAGAAAGTGTAAGGAGAGGAGTGGTTTGCTGCTGTTGTTTTTAGAACACGCTCAATAAGCTATGGTGTTCTTATCCAACTGTCACTACCAAGTTTCTTGACAAGATCTGATGTGTGAGGTACATAAACCTGCTCTGTTGTATCAGTGAGGTCTGTATGGAAAAGGTTAGATAAATGCAGAATATTGCCCAAACATGCTGCTTAATCTTGGTGATAACAAGAAAGAAATGGAGGTGTGAAGTGAGTTACCATTGAGAGTTGTATCAGTATAAGCAATTTGTATGTACGGCGTGTGGAGAAGTTAAGAGGGGTTACATTCTTTAACACTGTCATTCACAAAAAAAGAGCAGGTCTGGTTTCTCTATGGCTTTGACTCTGTTCTAATAACTCTAAACAGTTTATCAGGTGGTAGCAGTTCTGCTTACTAGAAAGCAAGAGGTTTTCCCTTTCCAATATATTTTATCTGCTTTCTTCTTTAACTCTTAATGAAGAGAAGTGAAACAGAAACCATATTGTAGAGAAATCCTTTCTAATAAGGACCCAATGATATTTGAATTCCAAGAGAAATAATAAAACACCAAATCTTACTAGGGAAAAAAGCCCTGATTTGGTAGCATTTGCCAATTTCTGTGGTGTAAGTATTCTCATAGTAGGTGATTTCAAGCCACCAAAGGTAGCTCCAGGTACAACTGGATATTTTTCCCGTTCTGTTTCATTTCTAGCTAAAAACTTATATAGTAAGTCCTGCAATGGCCCTAAAGTATTCACACAAGGTTTTAACCCTTTACCAGGATCACAATCTTCATGCATATTTCTATTTTACCTGATTACTGTACTTCACAATTTGGTCAAGTTCCAACTTCTAGCAACATCGGCTACCTATGGTTGTGTGACTACTGTAGTTTGTATCTTTAGATGCTCTGTTAATGGAGTTTTCCAAAACTACTTGTCTCACATTTATTTTTCCCCCTGCTTTTTTTTTTTTTTTTCCTGTTAGTCATATGTCCAATTCAAGAAGCAACCAATCTTGCAGAAAAAAAGTGGGGTGGGGGGAAGAAATGAATTATAGTTTTTCCAATTGTTTCCTATAAGTGATAATATACAAATTCATCATGTAATTTTAAAAAAAAAAAAAAACAGCAGTATTTGGGGTTAGGGGATAGGAATTTCTACCTGGAGAGAAAAGAAGACTGGCTTCTAAATGAAATGCAGACAGGAGTCTGGTCTCTCTCTTCCACATCTGCTGGGAATTAGTCCCTTAAGATTAGATCATGGTATTAATTCATGTTACTTGATCAGCAAAAACATCTTCTGGAGGCTTTCTTCACAGCACCAGTCAAAAAGAAGGTGTTCTTGATCTTTCAGAAAATTATTCTTTTCTCATTTTCACGATGCCAAAAATGATAGTCATTGCTAAAGTTCTGGCACTTTTTAAATAGTCAGGATAATTTTGAAAGCAAGAAACTCTTAAGTGACTTTCCTATCTATTTTCTGAATTTAATCAAGTTGGAGATTTATTATGATATTCAATTTTTTTTTTTTTTTTTTAAAGATGACCAGTAAGGGGATCTTAACCCTTGGCTGGGTGTTGTCAGCACCACGCTCTCCCAAGTGAGCTAACCAACCATCCCTATATAGGGAACCGAACCCATGGCCTTGGTGTTATCAGCACCACACTCTCCCAAGTGAGCCATGGGCCAGCCCATGATATTCAAATATTTTAATAATATATTTGAAATGAAAGGTACCATGTATAGAAAATAAATGACTACTTTAAAGTATATGCTCTATGGATTTCAACAGTTATAAGTGAACTTACAATTCATAGGTTTCTTTCTCGTGTGTGGTGTGTATAAATTGCTCTTTAATTTGAAATTTTTGAGGAAATATTTTATTTAGGGCAAGAGGAATGTGACCATTTTATCTCTATTCTAAAAC